ATGGGCTTGGAACAGATTAGGGCATTTCAATGTTAAATTTGCTTCTACATACGGAATTTTCTACTTACGAAATGGCTGTCAGAACGAATTAATTTCGTAAGCAGAGGTACCACTGTATACTAAAAATGAAATCCTCCCCACCCCATCAGTTGTTACTCATCTTGGGAACCTCAGTAGCTTAGAGAATCAAAGAAGGTCTTCAACCCTTTACGAACACAGGTAAGATCCTCCTCCAGCTGGAGGTACAAAGGAAGAATGCTCCACAAATGCAGAGCCAGATCCTAAAAAACTTGCAGCCTTGACAGAGTTATATGTGTTGGTTGAAATGCCAATAATAGTTTGCTTGTGAGGAAGGCTTATCTGCTCTCCCATTTTCTCTCTGTTTTGCTGTTCATTTATACTCATACGGGATCCTGGAGGTAGTGGCTTTTTACTTTGCCTGTTGCAGGCAAGCACACAGGCAGCTACAATAAGATGGACACTTGAGCATCTACATTCCAAAAAGGCACATTAAATATAAAGGGGACAGTCATGGAGTTATATAATATGTGACAGTCAAACTGAAATCATATAAACTTCATTTTTCCTTCAGGCCATGAACCAGATCTCTGCCAAATAAGGAAGTTGGGAATAAGAACTATTGTTGAAAGAAGTTTATAGTGAACAAATTAGTTTTCTGTGAAATTTTAAGAAAACAGACTGGAAAGGGAAAAAACAAATATGAGCTTCCACTCAACAGTATTTGGTAAAAAGATGCTTCTACCCTATTATAACTTAATACTAATTTCACATTCCTTGAATGTGGATACAGTCTTGTGGGAAGAGCAGAGATTTGCTGCCATAGAATTTTATTTTGCTAAAAAATATCAATTTTTAAGCCACAAAACAGCACCAAACCATCAAGGTTTTTCTTTTTTCCTTTCCTTCTTTTCTTCCCATTCTTTGCATTCTAATTTGAAAGCAAGTCTGCTGTCATGGGGATGTTTCTACAGTAGCCAAGATTTCCTCTGGGAGCAGCATCAGAACCTCCTCTCAGACTAGTAGAACTATTTAATTAAGCTTAGTGCTTTATTAAACAGCTCATACTGTGGAACAGAATGAACACTAAAAATATGAAATAAGAAATGTCAAAAGTCAACAGCCACTAAGAAAGTAACTCACAATGTACGCATGTGGAAGTTTTAGTCCCTGGCATCTTCTCTTCCCTACTTTTGCACAGAATAGAGGACTTTCATGGTGTGGAAGAATAGCCAGGTCAAATCCTTGGGTATGTCATAATTCAAGATTATAGAATCGTAGCATCATAGAATTGGAAGAGACCCCAATGGCCATCCAGTCCAACCTCCTGTCATGCAGGAATATAGAATCAAAGCACTTCTGACAGATGCCCATCCAACCTCTGTTTAAAGACCTCCAAGGAAGGAGATGCCACCATACTCTGAGAGACTGTGTTCCACTGTCAAACAGCTCTTACTGTCTAGATCAGGGGTTGGCAACCTATGGCCCGGGGGCCGGGGCTGGCCCCCCGAGGCCTTTGGAGTGGCCCCCGCCACGGCCGCCATTTTGTTTTCCAAAATGGCAGCTGTGACTCGTTTGCACATGCACAGGACTCCTGTGCATGCGCAAACGAGCCACGACCACCATTTTGGAAAACAAAATGGCGGCCGTAACTCATTTGCACATGCGCCAAGTACTGCGCATGTGCAAACGAGTTGTGGCCGCCATTTTGTTTTCCAAAATGGCAGCCGCGACTTGCTTGCGCATGTGCAGTACTCTAGAAGTACTGTGCATGTGCACATGCGCGCGTGCATGAGCGTGCGCACCGCCATTTCCCACCACCACCATCGGCCTGCAGAACACCAGGGGACCCCCGGATCGGCCCCAGGTAAGTGAAACTTGCCGACCCCTGGTCTAGATGCTCCTCCTAAAGTTTAGGTTGAATCTCTTTTCCTGTAGTTTGTATCCAGTACTCCGTGACCTAGTCTCTGGAGAAACAGAAAAGCAGTTTGCTCCTTCTTTCATATCACATCCTTTCAAATATTTAAAGACTGTGATACATATTTTTATTTATACCACACCTCTGCCAGCTTACTAGTTCTCTTCAGAATTGTAAGACTTTTCGGCTGGCTATGAAAAAATAAATAAGATCAGTGAAGTGGGATTGCAGAATTCCTGCATGACTTGTGGTCTGAACTCACTGGAAGGGCACCTGCCTCTCTAACAGGCAGGAAGTTCACTAATGCAAACAAAGGGTTGCACCACAGAGAGAAACCCATTCCCAAGGGTGGGGGAGTAATGTGATTTAGTGTAGTATAAGACTAGGAATGGGAAGGGCAGATATGAAAGAACTAGAAAAAATCCTGAAGAGTAAAGATATACATCTGAGCACTATGGTTAGAAGGTTAGAAGCATCCAAGCCATCGTAGTCTCCGACACCATGTACAGATGCAATAGGTGGACAGTGAAGAAAGTGAACAGGAAGAAAATCAACTCATTTGAGATGTGGTGCTGGAGATGACCAAAAAGACAACAAATGGGTCGTAGAACAGATCAAGCCTGAAATCTTCATGGAAGCCAAGATGATCAAGTTGTGGCTGTCCTACTTTGACCACATCATGACTCATTAGAAAAGACCATAATGCTAGTAAAGGTTAAGGGAAGCAGAAACAGAAGACTAGACACCCAACGGATAGAGTCAATCAGGGAGGTCACAGGCCTGAATTTGCAGGATCTAAGTAGAGTAGTTGAGAATAGGGAGGATTGGCGATGTCTCATCCACAGGGTCGCCATGAATTGGAGTCGGCTTGAGGACAGGTAACAACAACAATTTATTTGGGCAAAGGGCCAGCGTGGCTAGTGGCTTGAGTGCTGAACTATGACTCTGGAGACCAGGGTTCGAATCCCCGTTTGACCATGAGAACCCCCTGGGTGACCTTGAGCGAGTCACACTCTCTCAGCCTCAGAGGATGGCCACGGCAAATCCCCTCTGAAGAAATCTTGCCAAGAAAACTCCATGACAGATTTGCCTTAGGGTCGCCATAAGTCGACTTGGAAGACACACAACAGCCATTTATTTGGGCAGACAAGCCTACTTCTCCCCCTACTCTGACATCACGTATGGACACACCACACCACCACAGTGACAGGAGACACGGGTCATGCAGCCCTTACAGGTCGTTCAGGTGTTGTTGTTGTTGCTGCTGCTGCTGCTGTTGTGGGTGGCGGCCATTGACCACCGCCGCCGCCGCCGCCGCCTCCCTGCCTTGAGCCGAGGAGCGCGCTCTGGTGCTAGCAAGCCGGGGCCTCGGACCCTCCGCCGGGGCTGAAATATCGCAGCCCTGAGGGAACGCGTGGCTGCAGGAGCGGCTGCTTTTCGAAGAGCCTCAAGGAAGCCGCTTCGAAAGAAAACACGTCCCTCTCCCGCTTTCAAGTGTGGACTGACAGATGCAGAGAGGTAGGGGAGGCTGACGGAGTGATAGACGGGATCCTGAGCCTATCAGCGAAAGGGAGAAAGGAAACGAACCAATAAGGAAGGGAGGAGCTTTTGCTCCTCCCCTCCCCGTTTGTTCCTCCAGGTGAGGCGCGAGACAGTTGGTTAGAGTCGTTGGTTGCTCCCCTCAGAATAGCGATTGAGGAGGGGGGAGCCATTTTAACTTTTAAAATCACTCCCTCTGAACTCTGCGCCACGCTGTTGTAGCGCTACTGTTCCACTTTAATTGCTTCAGGTCCACGCTGCAGAAATAATCCAGTTTGAGACTCCTTTAATTGCCCTGGCTCAGTGCTATGGAATTTGGGGAATTGTAGTTTTGTGAGACATTTTGCCTTCTCTGTCAGAGAGAGAGGGACAGAGAGAGCTCTGGCGCCACAAAAAACGGCAATTCCAAAGATTCCCTATCTCTGAGCTAGGGCAGTTAAAGCGGTTTCAAATTGTATTACTTATTTCTGCAGTGTGTGTTTTGGACCATAGTTGGCTCCTGTGGAAACCTGGGGATTGAAAGTTTAGGGAGGGCAATTTTAGACTACTCAGCTAGGGAGCTCTGAGGCCTGACTGAACTACAAACCCCAGAATTCCACAGGAGGCAGCCATAGAGTTAGAGTGGAATGATAGCGCTGTAACAGTGTGTAGTACGGTTCTGTCACTGCTTAATCACCATGCTTGTGTTTATCAGAGGACAGGGTGACCAGGCATCCTCCTTTTCCAGGACGTGTCCCACATTTCAACCTTCTGTCTAGGATTTTCAACATGTCCTCCATTTTGAGCATAACTAAGGAGCATGAACTTACATTTACATTAGTGTTTTTAGCTTTTATTTTAATAATGTCCTCCATTTTCCTTAAATGCCCTACATTTTTGCAGTGCCTTGTCCTCCACAGTGCCAAAAGATAATGATATGATTGGCAAGCTTGAGGGTGCCTGTTCCCCAGACCTCCAGAAAATAAGCAAAAAGAGGCTTTGTGGTTAGCTGCTCTCCAGTGTATCCCAACTCACGGCAATCCTGTGGATGAGACATCTCCAAGACCCCCTGTCCTCCACTGCTGTGCTCAGGTCCTACAAATCCAGGCCCATGACCTCCCTGGTTGAGTCTATTCATCTGGTGTAGGGTCTTCCTCTCTTTCTAGTGTCCTCTCGTTTCCCTAGCATTATTGTCTTTTCTAAGGAGTCATGCCTTGTCATGATGTGGCCAAAGTATGGCAGTCTCAATTTAGTCATCTTGGCTTCCAGGGAGAATTCGGGGCTTGATCCATTTATTATTATTATTATTATTATTATTATTATTATTATTATTATTATTATTATTATTATGTCTTTTTGACTGTTCACAATATCCTCAGCACTCTTCTTCAGCACCACATCTCAAATTAATGTTTTTTCTGCTTACCTGCTTTCTTCACTGTCCAACTCTCACATCTGTACATGGTGAAGGGGAATGCAATGGCTTAAATTATTCTAACTTTGGTGCTCAGTTGTATATCTTTACACGTCAGGATCTTATCTAGTTCTTTCATGGTTGCCCTTCCCCTTCCTAGTCTTCTTCTGATTTCTTGATTGAAATCCCCATTTTGATAAATATTTGATCTGAGGTATGGGAAGTCTTTAACTATTTCTGTTTCCTTACTATCTAGGTTGAAGTTATGAAGATCATCTGTGGTCATTATTTTTGTTTTCTTTGATCCAAAACACACTGCAGAAATAATCCAGTTTGAGACCGTTTTAACTCCCCTGGCTCAGTGCTAGGGCATCCTGGGATTTGCAGTTTGTTGTAGCACCAGAACTCTCTCACAACTAAATATCTAGCAAAAGTACAAATTCCATAGCATGCAGCCATGGCAGTTAAAGCAGTGTCAAACAACATTGATTCTGCAGTGCAGATGTAGCCATGGTCAGTTGCCATTTGTAACACTGCCATCAGCATTTCCCACAATTTTCATCTTCTTTCACACAGAAAATTGACACAGGTCCAAAACACACTGCAGAAATAATCCAGTTTGAGACAGCTTTAACTGCCCTGGCTCAGTGCTAGGGAATCCTGAGGATTGTAATTTATTGTGGCACCAGAGCTCTCTGACAGAGAAGGCTCAATGTTTCATCAAATTACTTCACAGAATTCCCTAGCATTGAGCCAGGGCAGTTAAAGCAGTCTCAGGCTGGATTATTTCTGCAGTGTGTTTTGGACCAAAGAGGAAAATGTGGGTTAGCTGGAGTGGTAGCATGGACACATCTCCTTTTGGAAGCAGTGACTTTATTTCCCAGCTCTTTCTCTTGAATGGGGAACGCTCTGTCATTCTACTGGGCCAAAAGCCCAATTTTTGCTCATTGCTTCCCCATAAAGTATGTGTTATGATTTCCTAGAATCTCAAGGAATTTCTTCCTTTATTTTGGAACAGAAGAGAGGCTGGAGGAGGGAAAGGAAATCATTGTTTCCAATTTCCTATATAGTGCTGGCAGAGGAGCCCGTGTGGCCTCATGCTGGGGCCTCCTTTCTTAAGGCTACTTAAAATGGTGCATATCAGCACGTACACTCTAAAAATGTAATGTGTGATGTAGACAAATATATATTTTGATAGATATTGCATAGGGTATGGTAAAGTCATGCCTCCATGGGCGCTTTTTAAAATATTTTTATTATTATTATTTGTTTCAGATTGATATATTTTGTTGTTATGTGCCATCAAGTAATTTCTAATTTGAGGCAAGCCTAAAGTGAACCTATCATGGGATTTTCTTGGCAAGATTTGTTCATAGGATAGATTTGCTTTTGCCTTCCTCTGAGGCTGAATGTGATTTTCTCAAGGTCATTCAGTGGGCTTCCATGGCCCAGAGTCCTGGTCAGTACATGATGCTGGTTCTCTATTTTTATTAATTAATTTTTTGTTCCATAAACAGTGTGTGTGTGTGTGTGTGTGTGTGTGTTATATGGCTTATAAATTAACTTTAAAAGGAAAAAAAACTATTGTTTTCATGTATGGAGAAGGCAATGGCACACAACAGTCAATTGCTGAAGAGATTATCTAAATGAGACTATTAAACAAGAATTTGCAAACATCATTTTTTTTTACTTTGCTTAGGAATGTTCTACTTTTATTTAGGAATGTTCAAATATCATTCATCATCCAATTAAGAAAACTTTTAGAAGAAAATGGCAGCCAATTTGAATATTTATTTTATGTAATAAACTTCCTATGGACATGACTTTTTGACACACCCTATACCAGGGGTAGGCAACCTAAGGCCCAGGGGCCAGATGCAGCCCCCCGAGGCCTTTGGATCGGCCCCAGGCCGGTCCTGCCATCGCCGCCGCCCCCCGCCGCCCGCCATGGCGATATTGATTATTGTTGTTATTACTGGTTCTTGGGGTTTTCTTGGCAA